TTTTGCCATCGTTCGCATGCGAAGGCAAACAATTTAAACGATTTTCTTTAGCTTTCAATTACACATCTAAAAATGAATCTTAAAGAAACTTAAAATATATTTCTTAAAAAACATAATTTAACAACCATTCAAAATAATGTTTTCTCTGCAGGTACTTTATAACATGCCATATTAAGAAATAGGAAAGAGGCTGACACTTGAAAAAAAACATGCATAAAAGTAATGCACAGTTTTTCACAGCCCTCAATTATTAATAATCTAACGACACGCCCGTTTTTACACACCGTATTTATTTTACCAAAAATTTTAAAAATACACACGGAAATATTGTGAACCACAAACACCAGCGATATTAAAAAAAAAAATAAGAAGAAACTCAGTCAGTGCAGTTTTTGCGTATTCCTCTCTAAAAACATGAAGAAACCGATTTTGAAGGTTGGGGTTCGGGCAGAAAATTCGAAAGAATGTATTGTCATATGCAAAAAGTCTATAGACAATGTTTTAGCTCGATAAGTTTTCGGGAAGTTGGTCAATCAGCCTTCCGAATATTTTGTCCATAAAACACTCAGCACGCTACCCAGCCAGCAAGACATGAACATCAGCAAAATTCATATAAAATATTTATAAACAAAGATAATGTTCACTTGGCCCTATTTTTTTCCATTTCTTGTTACTCCAATCTATTATATTAATATTATTTCTGGCCCATATTTTCTTTTCTGCATTTGAACACTTAGCATTAATTTTTGTGTTTAAAATGGTTGCAGTAAATAACTTTAAATAAACGAAATGTATAAAAGGTGTTCACTATTTTTTTTCATTAGTTAGAGCAAGTTTTGATCTTAGTTTTTTTCTCATTTCGAAAAATATACGATTGATTTATTTTGTACTGTTAGTTGATAAATTATAATGTTTTCTCCACATTTTAGTAACATATAACCTTTTTTGCCCTAAAATGTACAATTCGGAAGAATTTTTGCAGGTCATAAAAAAATCTGGAGCTACCAAAGAAGTTCATTTAAAAGATATTAAAATATTATCTCCTGGGATAATTTTTAACAACTTAAATAAATTGAATAGATAATTTAATAACGATTCTTATTTAACACGCCAGGTCTAATAAATACATATTATTGTGACTTTTAGGTGGATGATCTGGTGAAAACAAGCAAAACTTTATTTCAGCTAGCCACACTGGGTTCTCCTATACATATTTTGTTGGATATGGCGAACTGAATCTATACAAGAACATCATTCTATATAGTTGTGCAGCCCAATATGCTGTTATTTTGGGGAAGCACTGACAAAGAGATATACCGATTACTAAGATTTAATAGCAGTTTAGCATTAAGCTAATTACATACACTTTTAATAAAGCTATGTATTAAAATAGTAAAAATATGTTAATCAATGTGCCCGCTTTCTATATTTTGCTTCAATCATCCAAAATGTAAATATATATATATATATATATATATATGTGTGTGTGTGTGTGTGTGTGTGTGTGTCTGTGTGTGTGTGTGTGTGTGTGTGTGTGTGTGTGTGTGTGTGTGTGTGTGTGTATATATGTTTATTTCTTTATTGAGCACACATTTTTTGTGTTTATATTATATTAATTTTTGATTATTTTTTTTTAAATTTTTTTTTATCTATAAAATGTTATATATATATATATATATATATATATATGTGTGTGTGTGTGTGTGTGTGTGTGTGTCTGTGTGTGTGTGTGTGTGTGTCTGTGTGTGTGTGTGTGTGTGTGTGTGTGTGTAAATATGATTAATTCTTTATTGAGCACACATTTTTTGTGTTTATATTAAATTAATTCTTGATCATTTTTTTTTAAATCATTTTTTATCTATAAAATGTGTTACCTGTTTACAATAAGGTCAAGATAAAGAGACACTCAAAAAATCATTTTGAAGGAAGTATGAGGTTATTGGAAATAAAAATAATTTGATGGTTATTAGAAAATGGTGGTATAGCATTATTGTAATAATTTCGTCAAATATAAAACAATATTCTTAAGATAAACATTGATCATCTTGCATTCAACTTTATGTCTCTACCATCATCAGCAATCTTATACAGCATATGCGTAGTATACAATGTTTCTTCATGTCGTATTTTGGTGGCGTTAGCGGGGCAATGAATATATAGGAATGCCGCCAGGCGTCGCTAATTAAGTGGTGATAATCCAATCATCTTTTTAATTTTGATGTTTATGAATATTATACTTTGGTGACATATTTGTTGAAAGAATGTAATTATTAAAGGTCTTGTTGTATGATGGTTTAAAATAAAATCATTTGGTTTTTAATAATAACATTCGTTTGTTGTTTCGTAAATCTCTTGTAGTTAGATCATTTAACATGTACCTTTATTACGTAGTCTTGTTGAGTGCATAATAAACTTTTTAAATGGTGTTATTTTTAACTTCGAGGTTAACACGTTTTGTATTAAGTCAGGTGATAAGTCACTCGTTGTTACCGAGTGATAGGTAAATCACTAGACCCTTTCCAACCTTTAAGTGTTTTTATACCTTTGGGGTCTATTTGGGAAACTATTAAATGTTTATTTATTGAAATAGTTTATCCAATTTTAATCATACTTACAGTACTGTTATTATTTTATTGGAACTAGAAACATGTTTTATTTTTTTTTATTGTCATTTTTTTAAATGCCGGCATTTTATCCCTAAATATTGAGCTTTTAAAAAGGAGTCTTAATTTAATAGCATGCATAGTTCCCCATCCTGTTTTACACTGAACAAAAGACCAGGCAGTTATTTTCATCTTGAGGTTCAACATTTATTTTTATAAAGCAGAAATTAAATAAAGGAAATTTAGAGTACAAACAAAAATTCTTAACAAATAAAAGCCGATTTCTTTTTAAATGTAGGCTTAGTTACACCAACTATTTCTGCTATAATAAATGCAACGCGAAACGGTCACAGAAAAATATAACGTTTGTATTAATCGTTAAATTAACATGCGTTTTGCTAATTATTCTAATACCACCCCCCCCCCTATTAATTTTTTTAATGTAATGTCCTACGTTTGGGCTATACAGGCACACTTATTTGACAACATTGAGTCCAATACGGTTAAGATCCATATAAAAATAGAACATTATAAAAAAAACTGTCTCCAAGGTTAATAACAATGCTCAAAAGAATTAAATTAATCAGGCACTCTGAGACATTAAAAAGATTAGAAGCTTATTTTAGAAGTAAAATCAATCAGTTAACAAAGTTTGCTACTTCTCTGACACTCAGGAAAAAAGATGGAATCATAACCAAGCAAATTTAGCGCTGTATATTTTTTCAACTCTTACTTATTAGCGTAAAAAGTGTACTTACTCTGAATAAAAGTCCAAAGTGTAAAATTTATAACTGCAAGATGAAATTAATCCCCTAGACAGAGTGCCAAGAGGATACCTCATATAAGAGATACTTGTCACTTTAAAAACACCAGTAAAATCACCACAGGAATAATTGGTACTTTTACGAAGAAAATAAAAAGTTAAAAAAAACAACAAATAAAATACAAGTAATACAATTTCTTTTAAATGTAATTAAACTTATTTAATTTTTGGAGTTGAACCAACTGTTTAAAAAAAATGAGACCCGACAATGTCCAAAGTTTCAAACCTTAAAACAAATATTTAACAATTATGAACTCAATTATATGGAACTGTTTCATTCCTTTCAACTACTTTCTAAATTATATTTTTATTATTGTTAATGAATAAGTTTCAAAATTATGTAAGTGTTTACAACCTGGTCAACATATTGATTGTATGTGGAAATTTAAAAATTGTTCTGTACTTTTCCTTTTCTCGAATTTATTTATTTAGTAGGTATTTTCTACTCATGGATAATTTACTTATTTTGACTCTCAGTAATATATTTTTTTACACACACTTTATTAGACGATGGAAAATAAAGCCAATCGTTGACGTTAACCTATTTTTTTTTTAAATTTCAAGTATAAATAGAGATTTTTACAGTAATTCGATTTTATAGTTAAAAACCGATTGTGTAATCATCAAATGATAAAGTAAATATCACAGAATGTAATAACATCCGAACTATTTCGAAGTAAAATATATTTAATAAAGTTTCTTGCAAAAGAAAGGATATAAATAGAACTATTAAAGGGCCTTAACAGAAAGGGATTTAATTTTAGGGCACCTCAAAAGATATAAATCCTTTAAAAAAAAAAAAAAAAGTAATTGTAAGTTTGATGCATTATTGTACATATAGAAAACAATGCAAAAAAGGATGTCGTACCGACATACGTTGCGTGTCCAAGTTGTAATTCTGTTTTGAAATCTATAGTTTTTGATGGAATCGGACATAAAAGATTGAAATTAACATTAAACAAGAACGTATCTATAATTCTTCTAATCTATCAGCTTTAAAAAAAAATACGATAACAATAGGAAGAAAAAATCATTTCAATGTGTGTACAAAAAAAACAACTATTACTTCTATTGAACATTTGTTTTGTGTGTTGGCGTTTGTGCGTGGTTTTGGGGTGCCCAGTTGTTGAAAAATTGTATTAATCTAAAAAAAAACACATTATTAATATATTTGGCTGATTTATTATACAACATCATATTCCGATTAAAAGTGAGCAATTTTTATATGCGAGCATTTCATGTACAAATATTTACCTACACATTAGAAAATTGTGATACATTTTAATATTGCTCTGTAAATAAAATGATTGATACATATATATATATATATATATAATATTTTCAAATACATAAATACAGAAGCATAGCGAGTATGTTTGGCGCCCGGGGACGAGATTCGCGACCGGGGACAGGATCCATTTTAAAGCACCCTTTTTTTCTTTTTTTTCAACTCTCAAACCCATTATTTTCATCAATAAAATAATATCAAAGCACATTTTGGCGCCCCTAACTACCTGAGGCCCGGGGACATCTGAAACCCACCCCCCCCCCCCCCCCCCCCCCCCCCCCCCCCCCCCGCTCCACCCGCCTCTTTACGCCTTTGCATAAATATAGCTTTTACAGTTCTAATTTAGAATAAATATAATCAAGTCATTATTGATACAAAAAAGTGTAAGGCTTCCCCTTTTACTTCGAATCATTTCAAGTTGTGAAATTAACTTATAGCACAAAACAGTCGGATACATCAATTTCTATCATAAATAGGTCACTTGTGAAAAATGACAAGGTAAGTATTGTTCTTTGATAGTTATAAATATAAGATAATATATAGAATGAGTTTGATAGAAACGGATTTAACATTCATTAATGCAAGCGCATTATTATTTTGGCTCTTTCATTTGTGCTGTGTATTTGAAAGTCCTCTAAAGGGATGTCTTCATGGGTCAGAGACCAACGGGAATACTTATTAGTGAATCCTCCCTTACTTCTAGAGGGAAGTTTCACTAAGGGGTAATCAGACGGAGAGGGTCAACACTAGTGAAAAACAAAGTGTCTAACCAAGTTACGGCCAAAGAGTAGCTTTCTTTAGATCTTACAACATAAAATAAGGTGTGGACTTGTTAAAGCGGATTACTATCTCCGCCCAGCGAAAACTTGGGGAAAAGAAGATCCTATCATTCGGCTGAGCATTGTAGCTAAATATTTAAGCTAGCAAATATCACATTAAATGTTGTTGAAAAACCCAACCAAAAGAAAATATAATAATTAAATGAGTACCTTTATAAACGAGTTGTAATACATCAACATATTAGTAATTATTATAATATAATGATTATAATAATCATCTTTTTAAACATGTTGTCCATTTATCATAATTATTGAATTGTGTTTTCCTTTCCAATACTGCAGTAGTTAGTACCTGATCCAGTAACACCCAAATGAACGTGAAACTGTCTAGCTAAAATATCACTAACTCCATGAATATAGACGAATGCCCCAGCACTGCCATGACATGTAGTATTTGTGTAAGTGTATCTGGTGTAGTCTGTGTATTCTTTACTTTCAACACATTCCCTCTTTTTGGTGGTTCCCATTGTAATTTGTTTAGGAAAATCATGAGGGTGAGACACTATACAAACCAACATAGTTGTTTCCCTAGGTGTATCTTTGTTAAACTCAGCCATAGCAAACCTGCAACGTTTGATGGTCGCATCTAGCGTGTCTAGTAAAGTCGAATCACATGTTGCACACTCTACTATACACCAACCTTCTTCAGCATTCTTTTCACTGACACAACTGCCATATAAAATATGGGCCTCATCAGAGTGCGAGTTGTAAAACAAATTAAGACATGATTTTTCTGCTTCATTATCATCATAAACAACAGTGCTGGAGGTGAGTACAAATACTTTACCCCAAGATGAACTGTGTACACCAGAAAATTTACATGTTTGACAAGGACAAAGAGAGCTATTTTTTCCTGAATATTTGATAAGGTTTATAATCATTCCAGTTTTTAGCCGAAAGCCTTTTTTCTCATTGATATAATTGTTGGGAGACATTTCATCTTCTGTTCTGTCGATTTGTGGTCTTTTTTTACTTTTGAATGAGACTAGAACACTTACAGTAAGATCGGCCATATCCAAAATTAACTGATGTAACTGTTTGCTTCTGTATTTTGAATCAATATTATTTACCTCGAATTCTTTTACGGGATAATAGTTTTCATGACCTTGATTATTAACACAAGTGTAATCCTTCAATGATTTAGATTTCCCAGGAATCTTAATCTCTGCAAAAAGAGAATGTCTTTTGAACACATTAATTTAACTTATTTATGATTAAACGATTACATTTTAAAAGTTAAATCTATATCGAAAATGATGTATTTTTAATGACAAATATTTAACTTCTCTGACGTTTCATTTTAGTAATTTTCTGAAAATTGATATTGCTTGTATCTAGAAATTAAAAGTCTGCTCCATCGATATAAGTGAGACGTTTCTTTCAATGTACATCTGTGTTCTACATTAAAGATCATGTTCAGCTAGTACAATCAACAATACCAGCCAATTGAAAAACTTCAGAAATCACACCAATTCAAAAGAAAATTAAGCAACTCGCAACAACGACTTACGATCTCTTATTCTTACCTCTATTGTAATAAATTGTCTTTAGAAACCTATTCTGAGAAAAAATTTGAAATGAAGCACATAAAAAAGTGGCCCCCACCTATTTGCTAACAATCCTTCCAGAAGTACGGAGGATGCAATCTTACTACATTGTTGGAGAGATTTTACCATCACCTAGACAGTCCTAAAACATATGCCAGAGTGCTTTTCTTAGACTTCTCTTCAGCATTTAACACTATCCAAACACATCTTATCATAAAGAAACTTTTCTCGTTAGGTGTAAATTTCAATTTTCAGGCTTGGATACTGAACTTTTTAACAAATCGAACACACAATGTCAAGATAAATGTCCAATTATCACTAACCAGGGAAATAAGCACCAGGGCACCACAAGGCTGCGTTCTCTCCCCTGTACTGTATACAATATATAACAATGATATTCAAATCTCAAGCGACAACATTCCAATCTTAAAATGCACTGATGATACCACCATCGTTGGCTTAATATCTGAAACAGAATGCTTATACCACAACTTAGTTACAAGCCTAATCAATTGGTGCAATGAAAATTTTCTCCAGCTGAATCTCTCAAAAAAAAAAAAAAAGGAAACGGTTGTTGATTTCAGAAAAGGGGAACACCAGATTAATGAGCTCAACATAAAAATATCAAAGTGTAGAGAAAGTAGAAGCGTATAAGAACTGAGACGTCACCATTAATGATAAGCTAACATGGCATGAGCACGGTCAATGCTGTATAAGAAATTCAACCAAAGACTGTTCTACCTCAAAAAACTGTACAATATCGGCGTAAACAAGCAAGTCGTTAACTTATTCTACAGTGCAAGAATTATTGGATACTGCTTAATTCCAGTATCACATGCTGGTGAGGGAATTCAACGTCTGATATTAAACAACGCATAAACCGACTAATCAAGAAAGCTAGTAACTTAACACAAACTTAACATCCTACACTTGAAGAATTATTTGAAGAAAGATGTTTTTTTTAACCTAACACATTTTGGATGATACATGCCACCCTCTTCATCACAGATACTTAGGATCGGGCCGTTCGGGACGAATTCTTTCCATAAGGGCCAAGACCGAGAGATATTAACATTCTTTTGTTCACCAATCTGTACGAATTTACCAGCGTGCTTCCCCGGAAGTCACACATTTTAATGAAAACTAATAAGTCCCTGATATGGCTAAGAGAACTCACGGAATGGCTGCTAGTGAATAAATTTATTACCAAAAGCTTTATCAAATTGATTTTTATATGTGCTAAAAATGTACAATGCAATCAAAAAACATTTCCATTTGTTTGGATCAATAAAGAATCTTATCTTCTCTTATCTTTAAAACAGCTTCCATCTAAGATATATGTGCCTCATTTTTTTCTTTTGGATATCAAGACACGGTGGCTAACACAGAGGTCTTGGATCCTGCAAAAATGTGTCGCTTATTATTCGCTCTCAACTAGAGTTTAGGCCATGTAAGGAGATGGAGGAAGGCAGTATTCCAATAATTTTGCTGTATGGAGATTTGGCAGAAGAGAGGCCACTTATAAGCCGGCCACGCCTGAGATTTATGTACGTTTGCATATATATACGTGATATACACGTACATAAATAAATACTCTCTATTTACATATATATATTTAATATATATATACATCTATATATATATATATATATATATATATATATTAAACGGCTGATATTGATTAACATTAACAACCATCACAAACTTGCATAAACACCTACCTAATAAAGATGTCTTCGTTTTTGATTCCTCTGGAGACATATGATCTGAAAAGCTTCGTTGCAACTTGAAATAAAATGAAAATACAATTATTAATTAGCTAAAAGTAAAAAAAAATATTTCCAAAACTATAATCATAATTAACTGATTAAATACTATCAAGAAAACATTTTTTAAACATCTTAAGACCTTTTTAATATATATATAAGATGAAAAGTGTCTATTAAAATAGACGTAAAAAATATGACATACATATTGTATAGTGGCGTTGTTTCAATTAATAAATGACATATCCGATTTTACTGATTTTACCGCCTTAGCGAATGGCTGATTTTATGAAAAACAATTTAGATAAACTATGCTGGAATCGTAAGGATTTATAGTCCATTCATTGCCATCTTATCAGATAAATAACTAAAGGACTTTAAATATAATTTAAACTTAAACGTGATGACGTACATAGTCATATGAATAATTTTAATGGATGTATTTTTTAAAATGTTTTTTTTTTTTGTAATACACATCAATGAATAGCACATTACTAAGTTTTATTAACTAACTTTAATTATCCTTTTCTGGGTGATATATATACATATTTATATATATATAAAGTTGTTACTTAGTTGTACCTTACCAAAAAACAAATATTGCTAATGGCACTGTTCTCCAAAAGATAATTTTTGCTTTTTAATTTACGTTGCTTTTTTAAAAAGAATGTTTTGTGCATAGTAAAAGACTTGAATATAAAAAAAAAATATCAAAACAAAAAAAAATTATTCTTACCACTTTTGTGTACTCGGAGGGCTTTAGATGTCGATACAAGCTTGTAAAAATGTAGACATAAGTGAATCATGGATGTAAAGGCAAAATAAAAACAAAAACAAAAAACAAACAAACATAAAGAAATAAAAAAGTTATGATTTACTTCGCATTCCAGATCTTGACATTTATATATAGACTTGCAAACAGTAATTAGTTTATATTTTTTATTATTTTTGGTAATAATATTTATTTTAAATGGCGAATGTCATTGGATCGTGATCAAATTATTTTGCATTCATATTTCTACAAAATATTATGACCATATCTGCTGTGAAAAAAAACAACTCACAAATGTATAATAACGTACAAGGAACTCTTGTGAGAAAAGCATTAATGGCAGATTATAAATATTAAATATTCAGAACTAACTCTTTATATCGCATCCCGACACAACGTGTATTTGGTCTTATAATGATTTTTTTTCATTTAATAAAGATTAATTAATATAGGAGTGCGTTCAAGCTGTGTGAAAGAAAAAGTGGAACAAGGTATGTGGAAACTTATAATATACAAACAGAACAATAAGAAGATAACGTTTCGGCTGTTAGTTTTCATCATCACACACGAGAAATGAAAAAAAAAAACAATAAGAAATATAATCAACATTATTTACTAGCTCCATTATTTCCTTTTCCCCAACTTTTTTATATTTAAATACAGAAAATTTAATTTATTTCTTTTTAAAATGTTCAATAATGTTTTAACACACCAAATGTATAAGCTTTGTATCTTTAATATTAAATAAGTTTTACTTATTTTTTTTTAAATCTAACAATGTGAATTTATTTTGAAAAAAAATTAGGAAGTTGACATTTAAAAAAAATTGTTTCAAAAGTCATTTAAAGTATAAAGAAATCAATCCTGGGAATCTGCATTTAGTTCAGTTTCATATTAGTATCTCCAGTCTTGATTATGTTTTAGATATGAATTTCGATTTGGTTTAATGTATCAACAGAAAACAATATTCTTAAAATTTACGAATGTAAAATAAAACGACAGCTGTATAATGCGGGATGAATGGTAAGTGAGACATACAAAAATTAGTATAGTTATGGACCGTTAAAGGCATGGAACATTGAAAAGGGGGCTAACTTTGAAAGACATATATTTCCAACCCAAAAATGTTTAGATTTTAAACTTTCGAATAGAATTTAGTCAAATAGGAGCCGAAACTCATCACCGCTTTTCGGACCCGGGTTCCATTAGACTCAAGCAATTCGGATGTCATTTCTTGTAGTTTATTTTAGTTCAACTGAATAAGTAAGTTTACAAACATATGCAATTTTTTGGTAATTTATTTTAGTTAAACTGAAGAAGTAAGTTTACTAACATATAGTTCATTCAATTATCTTTTATTTGATACAAAATTTAGTCTTAAACCTAACAAAAATATTAATTTTAAATTTTAATCCCAACCTCTTGCTTCGTGGACCCGGGTCCGAATAGCCACTTCGTTAAGTATATATATAGTTACGATTTTATATTATATATTAATTTTTTGTATCGATTTTACAACATAAAAAGATAATGGTATTTATTACAATTACTAAAATAAACGATGAGATATTTTTTGTAATATATACAGAAAGTACATTGCCTGAAAAAGCGGGTTTGGTACATTATAATCTAATATAGTTCAAGTTTTTTGGGTAAACAAAGTGCGTGATGTCAGTTTTTCACATTATCAGGTTTCCGTTGCATTGTCATAATTCAGGAAAAAAAACAAAAAAGGAAAAACGCAAAGTCTGTATCACAGAAACGACATGGTGATCCCTTCTGTTAAAGTATTTTTACAATAAATTGGAAAGTCGTAAAAGAAAATCTATATTTAATGAACATAATTTACTTCCTTTAAAATTTTCCGAGGTTTAAAACATGTAAAATCATGTTTGCTGTTTTGTGATGCCTGAGCCAACACATGACATACCGTAAATAATTTTGAATAAAATTAAATTGCTATACTTTACTATAATTTGAGAATTAATGTTTAAATAGATGGCCAATAAAAATTTAATGTGGAGCATTATCAATTATTATTTTTATTGCTATTTTTTTTTACATTTTAAGGTTAAGGATTATTTGTTTAATCAAGGTTAGAGTAGTTACATTCTTTTTTTTTCCCATAAGCGTAGGTTACGTCGTTTAAGTCATAACATTTGAACCAAAATAATACATAATTTAATGTATTATTACAATTATCATTACTGACATTTTACACTATTTATTTTACCATTTTATGTTAATATTTTTCTAACATACATAATATCAATATCTCTAAACGCGATTTTTTTACATATTTGAACATTGGTATGGATTTTAAAATAAGCAATACTATTATTTAAATGTATGGAAACATGGTTTAAACATTTTTTTAAAAAATGTATGGCATAACGAAACAGAGATTGGCCATAGAAATGTTAATTTATTTGATGGATTTGCAAAAAGGGTGCAGAGGCATACCTAGATTTTTTACGAAAGAAAATATTAATTTTTTTTACGATGCTTACTAGATAATGGCAATAATCACTAATATAGATATGCTTGTCACTGCAGCAGTGATCAATATTGCATTTTGACATCCTTGCATTTCAAAAGTTTTACTCATATAACATGCAATTGGGCCTGGGTCTGTGGATGAATTTTGATCTGTCGAAAAAGCCAAATGATTACATATAAATAAGACTCTTGCTAGTTCATTATTTTTATTTATGTCCTTTTAGTTGAAATATTAAAGAAAACATTAATTAACGTGTTGTTCACTGCAGAGCCCATACTCACAATGTAAGTTATTTTAGCTGATATTTTTTTTTTATGTTTCCGTTTATTTTTCTTTAAAAATAGGTTTTGAAGACTTAAAAAAAGATAATTCAGTATATCTTTTTTCTGATGTATTTCTCGATTAAAATTTGTCTCAATTTTGTTTGAAATTTCAAATCAAGTATACACACTTGTTCTCCAAGAAACTTCATGTATTCTTGTCTAGGCTTTTATGAATAACTTGATTTCGGTGATATACTATGGGAATGTTTAGATTATTGCAGCTATACTTGGACTCTTTAAAAAAAAAAGCTTTTTATTTACTTTAGTTTCATGTAAAGAAAAAAAAAAAGTACGGCTGCTCACTTTTACTCTAAACTTCAATGCCCCTCACAGAACTTGCCGTAGTTAACCACACCACATATTTATATATCTATTATATTTTAAGGGAAATTAATTTTTAAATACCTTATATTGCCAATGAAAAGTATAATACATATTTGTTTTAAAATTGGCTTCATATATTTATCTTTAAGAAAATATAAAACTACTAAATATTAAACTTATTCTCAACAAGTAATGTTAATGTTTTGTCAAGAGTGAAAATGTTCATATGCATACATAATATTAATTAGCATTATGTGTAATCACATTTTTTTATAAATGGCATTTAAAAAAAAATAATTTAAAATCATTAACTTTTACTTTTAATTTAAATTAACATTTCTTAAGTATTTATTTGCCTGAAAAATTACATCTTACCTGCTTTTAATGAACAATGAATGGTAGTTGGGGCCCTATCTAATGTGCACGCACCATATTTTATGGTGACATATATATCTTGTGTCTGATTAACCTTGGTATTGTATATAGCGCTTCCATTTCCTTCCACTGATTCTGTAGTATCACGTGTTGAGATCTCAATCAAACACGGAGAAGCTTGACTTTCACAGAGGCACACAATGTTAATTTCGGTTACATTAACACTGATAACCCATTTATCTACGTCAGTAGATAACTGTTTTCCATTTACTATCAGGGTACTCTTTATATCTGAAACATCTAAGGAAAAATTAATTGTTAATACTCTGATTGGAATTATTTCGATGTGTTTTGAACTAAAATGGTAATGGGTTAGAATTAAATTGTCCAATTTGTCTAAACCCGACTTATTGATTACTGAAAAAGCCGGTGGGCACGGCTTACCATGTGAGTTACCCAGTCATGAGTAAATGATCTTAACCTTTTCATTCAGTCTTTATTTGTGATACATTTGTGTCAGTCAATACACATTTTTTTCTAGATTTAACTATTCGTTTTAGTGAGGTGCATGGGTCACTCTGGTCGACACATTAAATGGTTATATTTTCTGATGCGAGTAGGAGTAACAGTCGAGCTTTTTGATTGGTTTGATTCATCATATTCTTCACACGCTCATACGTGGTATTAAAACCGAAATGAACAAACGTTTTTTTCCATAAATCATGTAAAATTAATATATGCATACATATAAAGTTGAACATTTAATGAAACGCATCAATAACACAATTGACTATATGGAAGAGCAATACTATTCGACTTTAAAACACAATGTTCTTGTAATTACAGCTGACGAATATGCAAACACGCCAATGACATTCTAGACATTAAATATAATACTTACAATAAATATACGTCATCAAGTAGATGGTAGAAGGCGTTAATTAACTAAAAACTCACTCAAAAGACACAAAGCATGATAAAAACATTATGCAATAAACAAAACTTATTAGTGACTTCCCATGAACGACAGTAGGACCAAGAATGAACTGCATTTGATAAAGTATTCTGATTGATCAAATAAATTCGGGTACACCTAACTTAAGATTTGAAACTTGGGTCTGTGTTGGTTGTGATACTGAAGATTAGAGAATAAAGAATTGTCTTTAAAATTAGAGATTAGTGTTGGCAGAATGTTGGAATGATGATGTCAAAGTAGGATTTCTAATTTAATTAGCTAGCCATTAGTCCTTCATTCTTTCTGGTCTACAATATTTTATATAACATATTTGTATTATCTTTGGTCTTTCGTGTGCCATTCAAAATCACTCTTTATGTCAAGTGACACTCATACCGCTGGATAGACGATCAAACACTCTTCAGTATACCACGTAATGAAAATGTTTTTTACACATTTATCCTAAGGATACCGTGCTATATATGACCTCTTATTATTATTATTATTATTTGTTTTTAATTGTACGTGCATATTAAAGTTATCTATTAATATATGCATTGAAAATTACACATGACATGAATTTTACCATAGATTTTAGGAAAATGAAGGTATTTGCTATCAATATACTCTGAGTTTGAAGTAATAAGTTTTCCATATATTTTTGCAGCACTGTACATTTTTGTAGCAATTACTGTTATAGTAATTTCAGCAATATGTGATCGAATATGTCTGCAATCTGTCATGACACCGTAACAGTCTTTTTGTAAATTATACTCCTTGGTCTGAAATATTAAATAATATTTTAAATATTAAAAATAGTTAATGAAATAATATATTATTTTAAAATGATATAAACATTGAGACTATTATATCAATGAAAATACAATAACTCAGATAATAACCCGACCTCACGACATGAGACATAAGACTTACAACAGGCAATCGAATTGTGACAAGCAGCTAAAAAATTTACTTGCATGTAATATATACTTAGATTAAAGTTTATTAATTATTCCAGATGTAAATACAAAGATTATTTACAAATTAATATTTTGCGCTTAAACGTTTGAAATTAATTCTAACAAGTTGTTACAGCTCAGTCACCGAGGGCAACGACACACATCTATAAATATATAGCCCAAGTAAGTCTAATATAATAGAAGAATAAATGACAGGTGTGTTAAAAGTATAACATATATATATATATATATATATATATATATATATATATATATATATATATATATATATATATATATATATATATATACATCAGGAAGGAGTGACTTCAATATAGCACAATCGTTTTGGAATCTACTCGTCATTTAGTTTGAATTTATTTTTTTTTTAAAAATTAATATTACATTGCTGAATTAATTAATTTTCTTTATTGATATAATGTAGCAGTGTATAATTCCTACAGGAACTAGAATAATCAATATTTTGATCTTGGTACCTTCGTATATAGAAGAAAAAGAAGACATGCTTGTGTGTCATGTGTTTATGTACGAATTCTATTGGAATCTACTAATTCGTATTAATCGTTTTATGCAATATATGTTGCCTTAAATAGCTGCCTATATATTTTTGTATATTAAAGCGAGGACGCGAGTCTATGAACGACATTCACGTTTTGTTTTCCCGAGAGAGTAAATATATGTTTGGGTAATATTCCGTTTTCTCCCCCAAATTTTTTGACGCTTGGCAAAGGGCATACCTTTGATCTGTAAACAATAAGTTATTCTTAAGATATATTTATTTAAATTCAACATCTTTTTGTGTATTATTTCCATTTAAAATATATTAACAATGTAAATATTTTTGTTGTGAAAACAGCTCAAGTCGGACGTCTCATATCTGGAACAGTGTTTGGTTTTTCCTTGAAATATTGCCTACAAACACCTTTGCACAAATCACAGAAGCAATATACATTTTTTTGGGCCCTACGATATTAAAAAAGGTTTTGCGAGGAATTTATTAAAATTAAGAATGGGAAAGTTGTAAATGTACTTATGTCCACAGACGAGGTTTACGAACAGAGTGTTAAGGAGATATAAATGAGAATGTTGGAGAAGATATTTAGTTCATGACAAGATGGGCAACAGATTGTAAACAGGAGTCTTAACGCATTTGATATCAAGATAATACAATATGGTTATGAAACGTCCCGCGGATATTTTTATGGTAATTCGCTTTGATTTGGGGAGTATATTTAAGAGATCATGAGGTTGGGGCGGTTGTTGTTAAGGCAGAGAAGAATATATCGTCATGCATTACTTGTGTTGAAAGGGAAAAAAAAATACTTTATTAATAGTATCAATTATCATAAATTTGACCGATTCCAAATTCTATGATGCATGGAGAAACCCATTAAGTAATAAAGCACTGCGCAACAACAAAAAACAACAACATTCCAAAAACAAATGTGCAAAACGTCCCAGTAGTTGGAAAATACAAACACAATACCTTCAATCATTATATGGAAAACACCTTACAGTGTACTTAACAAAAACAAAGTAAAAAAAAATAATCATACAAATCAACACTGTTTAAAAAAAATGACAACTTCAATTGATATTTTTAAGACCATAAGTCACTTTTTATATCATTTAAAAAAAAAACAATAAGTTAAGCAAATACATGTTTAATTAATGGTTTGTTTATCCGAGTTTCAGTTAACTGATTTTCTTCTTGTTAGTGGTGATATTTAAAGTGTCATCTGAAAATAATACATTTATACGTCTATCATCAACATTCGTTTTGCTATATAATTAGTTGGACTGATGATTTTTGGAGAGGACTTACAGTAGGTAAGGCATCTGTTGTTTTCTTTATGTAAATTTGAACATAACTCATTTGTGGATCTTTTGAGTAATCAACCACAGCTTTGAAGACAACTGAATCACCACTGATCAGACCATGCACACATTTGGATCCAATGTCCTCTTGTTTGACTTTATATAAGTTTATCGTTTGTCCATGTGTAAATGCTTAAGAAACAAAATATAAAGAGTCGTCAAATATATTTTTGTACACTTACTATAAATGAATTGGAGAATATATATCAATTTAAAAAAAGAAATGTTGTGTGAAAGTTGAACCACAATTAGTAGTTTCAAAGAAAGGGGTGCTGCGCTCCCCATGGATTTCTCCACTGATGCGTAAAATTGCTTGTGATACTTTAAGGTGCCAACAAAAATGAGACCAGGAATCTCATAATGTATTGATTTTTAAAAAATTAAATTTATAAATTCATGGTATATGTACAAGATTTGTATATGCATATATATCATTTTAAAAATAATATTTTACTGGATTGCAATAGAACCCAGTCATCTACAATTATATCCTTTAAAAATACAACTGAAATAATGTAGTACTTCTTTTGATTTTAAGTTTTACACATTGAACTGTTGTATAACGCATCATTTATTTATTATATTTTAATATTTTACATCTCTATACTTTGACTTACCACATAAAAGCAATATAGCAACTGTATTGAACAATAAATTGAACATTATGTGGTCTCTGGTTTAATGTAGAGAAGAAAATAAAATCAAATGACTATGCATTTTAGACACATCAATGGATATTTATGTAGCTAACAGTTTAACTATTAAATATTCATTTACTTGATTTTTATATTCCATTAAAAATGGTAAAATCCAAAACAAGTTATGTCATCATTACTAGGCCAACCAATATTGTGAACTAAAATTATTGTTGCAAAACTTAACATCTAATTATATATCCAGACATATCGTGTGAATCTTTTTTTTTTTTCAATAATAAAAAAGGAACTAAATGCATACGCCATTTACTTGGTTCGTAGTTTTTAATATATGCATTGCGGTCAGCGAAGAATTGACTTGTTTAAAATGAAACTTAAAAATTTGGAGTTTGTAAGCTCCTCTACAAAGTGGTTTCCAGAGATCTGTTAGCGACACTTTCACGTAATTCCATAATATATTTGCTTACTATTACAAAAAGTTCCTTGTGAGTGATTTTACTACAAACAAAAAAAAAAAAAAAAGAAAAGAAAATAAATGTCAAAAAAAAAAAAAAAAAAAGAAAAGAAAATAAATGTCGATTGAATGGACTTTCATGTTGTCTGTTAGCTTCAATTCTTTGAAAAACTCAGTTGTATAGACACGATCAGAATATCGTTCCTGTTTTGATTTATCTGCTGGATTATAATGACTTAATCGTGACAGAGCCGGTGCCCTCGAATAGTGAATGACGTCTCTGGCTCGGATAGTGAAGAAATGAGGTCAGCAGGTAAGTTTACCTTTATAACTGACATGTCGGGCAATGCAAACGACAATGATATACAAACGCCGGTTTAACAGAATGTGTATAGATATACATAGAGTAGGAAGCTTTATATAATATAACCAGCTTCTTGTTTATCTTCTTATTTTGAACAGATTAAATATTTTAGTATATGTAAGCTACACGAATTACTGTTGATTAGCATGCATGTTAAATTGGACACATATATATGATGCACATCTGAATGAAGAATGTGTGTATTGTTGATGACTTACTTCTGATAATGACAATCTCTTCTTTGAAACCGACCAAGACCATTTAAAACATCGGCGTGTTGTTCTGGCTGTATGTATGGGTGCGCAGATAGCAGATCAGCAGATTCTTGCTAGAAAATATCTGTTTCAGAAAGTGCAGGATATGGGTGGGACAGCTCCAGGTGCAAGGCCTATTTGTCTTTTGAAAATGGCTCACTAGTCCGCGGTCAAAGAAAAAAAAAAATGTTTGATCAATTTTAACACACAATTATTTTTTTTAAATTAAATAATAAGGCGTTTAATGATATTTCACAGATAAATAACCAGCAATATCGTATCCAATAAAATAAGGGCTGTATTTGAATTTCTGAATCTAAAACTACGGAAACGAGGTTACGAATCCATACTTTTAGATTCAAAAATTGAAAACCCGCAAATATGCATTTGTAATAATAATTTTATAGTTTTTACATTATTCAATTTTGTTTCAAGTTGAAATTCCAGGTACAATATGTAAGGTATTTTTACTCATATAAAAATCCTTTATTAACTAAAAAAAAAAATGAGAGCTGACTAAAATCATTGCATCTAAATTTATATAGAAAACTAGATATATAAGAACTCTTTATTTTCAATCAAAAACAGACAAAAGGGGACTGATTATCACCAGATGGTGCTTACCTTTGTATCTTTAAATCCAGCCGTAAGAAACTTGCCGTGTCAAACCTAAGCCAAAGGATTTCAAAAAATATATTCACCTTTCTTACATAGAGACTGCAGAATTTTAATTTTCCTTAAAATTTTTTTGAAAGTTTCAATTAACAAAATTTAGAAATTAATAATATACACATTATGACAATATTAAATTGATTACGCTTCATATGTCGAAATGATTGTTTAGGAAACTAATATTTTTCTTTTCTGTTGTTGCTTATTGAACTGAATTATATCTTAACATTATTTATCATAAATTAATGAACGAACATTCCTCTAAAAATATTTAAATAGAAAAACTAATATAAATGCAATGCGTTACCCAATGCACTATATACAACTGAAATAGTCCCTAACGTCATGAACCCTAACAAACATTCTTTAACCCATTTGTGTCAATAAATATCTTAAATACTCTAACCATAAAACTGAATTTATATTAAATATTTAAAGCAAAAAAAAAAAAATAAAATATAATAAAATAACTAATAATAATAACTAAAATTAAAAAACAAATTAAAAAATAAAAAAAACAAAAAAAAAAAAAAAAAAAAAAAAAAAAAAAAAAAAAAATAAAACAAAAAAAAAGAAAAAAAAAAAGGAAAAAAAAAAAAAAAAAAAAAAAAAAAAAAAAAAAAAAAAAAAAAAAAAAAAAAAAAAAAAAAAAAAAAAAAACTTACCAAATGCTTTTTGAACATTAAAAATTGGCAAATGATTTAATATTTTAAAAAAGTATTTTTATATTTGGTTATTTCACGGACAAAGTTTAGTAAAGTTTAAACTAAAGTAAATAAAGAATATTAAATTAAGTTGAAACCTAATACTTAATTATTATTTAACTAAACCATAACTTATTCCTAAGTCTAAGCTTGCCCTCAATCTAGCTGAAAAATAAAACATGATTCACAGATTATATTAAAGCCTACTTTTCAATAATATGAAAGTTCTTAGCTGAATCTAATACTTACACTACTCTAAACAAGAGAAGGTCTACTAAGTCAATTTCATCAGAATCAATTTTATTTCTTAACGTAACTAAATATATTAGTACATTATGGTATTACTTTTACTTTGATGAATAACGAGCCTGTAAAATGTGGTAAAATTCCTTTCATCAATGTCAATATTTTTAAAGGGTCGACTAATGCATAGTAAGGTTAAACTCATATAGTTTCTTTCATAGATAAATACGGGGATATCCCATACAGTTCACAAATAGTAATGCAACATGTTAAGCCCAGCACCCAACACCCTATACAACAACATGTGTCGTCTGCAGTAGGTAATAAATAAGGCAAACATATCGATCTTTCTTCCAATCGTGTAAATAAATGGATATCGATTTAAAATGAGGTTACTCATGTCGACAGTCACCTTTGCTATGTAATGTCCCTTCTGGCTATCATAGCCTTTAAATTGTTTAAATGTTAAATTTACTTTTTTTTTTTTTTTTTGGGGGGGGGGTTTTTTTTTTTTTTTCCAAATTTTTTTCCCCTTTTTAAAAAAAGAGTTTGCAGTCAACTGTGGAACTGTAATACCTTTTTATTACTACTTCAATTCCTTGGAAAAGTAAGGCTTGATGAAATCACGAAGTATGCAAAGAGTTCCTAGCGTAATATCTGCACTAACAACACAAGCACATCTACATTAAGAACACATCAGCACTTACATTATGTCAACGTGCCACTAAAATATCAGCGTGATATATCAACCAGGTTAACTGTACGCATGCACTCGTAGAAACACTACTGTCGTGTTGAAAGAACAATCTAATATAATGTAGACTGTACATGTATTTCAATACATCAGCTGAGCTCTAATAAGAATTTTCAGAAATTTGATAAGGCGCCGCAGAGTAGTTAATGGAGGGCATCCATCAGAACGAACATTTCCATTATGGTGCCTGGGTAATTTTTCATCGCTACACAGAAACTTTTTTTTAATTTCAAAATTCAGTGATGCCTTTAAGTGTTAATTTTCGACACGTAGTCGGCGAGCAACAATTGTGTCCCTTTATTTGTTAATAATTGTGATATTGTTTTAATATATTTGTTTAATATGTCAGATTCAGCGTCAGCGATTCATATGTGCTTTTTCCCCTTTTTTGTCTGCTATGCAAAGTAAAAGGCATACATAATGCTGTTTCAAAGCCTGAAATATGTAGAATAAGATTTTTATGATATCATCCAAAGGAATTTCTAATATGCGATTTTTACAGTTCCAAAAGAAGAGTATGGTACCGTCACAGAAAGCAGAGGCGTCACTACGGTTGGGTCCACCCAATGCGGTAAAGTAATGTTTTTATCCCCCCTCTGGAATCCATCTCCCAGGACAGACACTAAGTTATGTGTAGTTTGAAAACAAATCACAAAGAATCGCTTATAGTAATCTTTGTAAATTGTGTCCACTCTAATCTAAAGAAATAAGAAAAAAATTATATTTTAAGTAAATGTAGGGATTTGGAGCTGAGCTCAAAAATGGAGCTCAAAGTTATGTTGTGGTGTCTTTTAGCATGGAGCTTGATCCAAATCTAGGAGATATGATCATTTTCAACTGCTCCAAGAATAACGATTTCTAACATAATTATCAAAAAATCGTTTTAAACAAAAATATGATGCACTATTCTTCTATTAATCTATGTTGTTCAAATTTTCTATAAGCAATTTTACCCTCACTTCTATCAGATATGCGGCCCTACTCTTCTATTTTTATGTTTGTCTTACTCTTCTTCGTGAACTTTTGCCGCACTCTTAAACTAGCAATGTCATTCCGATCAATGAGAGCTAGTTGGTCCAACTCTTCTAACAGTTTTTTTGTCAACCTCTTCTACCAACAATTGTGTCCTGCATTTCTACAACTTTATTATTTATTTTATACTACTGCCTAGCTATGAGATTCGTACGTGACAATAAAAAACACATTTCTTTGAAAACGTAACACACCTCTCTAATTTGTATCCCAGAACTCGGAGCTGAGTTGAAGCGGTCAGAATTATGTAAGTAGTTGAGGTGGAGTCAAACTCTTATAAAAAAACCTGCTCAAAATATTCAACCATTTTACAACACTTCTTTAAATCAACATTATGTTTACCTTTTTCCCTTTAAATAGACACACGGTATCTCAATGGAAGAAGTAAACCGGGCTGCGCATATTGTGTAGTGCCAGAGAAAATATACTACTTTGCGCCAAAAAATCTTTGCCCGACTTTATAAGCAGCCAAGAAAACTCTTGATAAGGTATATAGTAATGTTTATTTATGGCAACTTTGTATTAATTCATGACCTGTTTTTCTATATACTTCTCCTTGGAGACCCGTTAATATTAATATCACGTATAAATATATAATTTAAGAATGTTGTTTATAATGCCTATTAATTTTATTGACCCAAATATCACATTTGTTATTATTTGAAAATCTATCGATTTTTTAATTTTAAACTGTGTTTGTTTTATTTTTAGGAATATTATAATCAGAACATATGACTGGTAGGCCAATTAATAAAGTGTATGGCACATTCCACGGTAAAGCTACACTCTACAAATTACTGCACCAGTTTTGTTGGTTCCGGACTATTTTTTTAACCTTGCAAAAAAATATTATTATTTTTTTTTATTTTATTTTTTTAAATATATTTATAAGTGTAGTGATTTGTATTTTGTGACCGTTTTTATGGATTAAGTGTGGTTATTAAAATAGACAATGAAATATTGTATTTTAGTAACATTGAGCTAGGTTGACATTATATATTTAATGACTTAGTTGGCATTGAAGCTGTTTTCTTAAATAATTATGAACAATATTACTAAACAGTCTTAAAATAATATATATTAAAATATTTCATTTCATATTAATATTTTTTTTTCTAAATAACAATTACATACGCTGTTTAATAATTTCAAGAGAAACTTCAAAAATAAATTATTAGAGAAACAACAATTCCTTTTCTTCACCGTCTTGGGTCTACCTGGAGCAAGCTATTCCACTTCTTGGAATCCCATCCTATAACTCTTTCTTTTTTGAGTCTGTTTAACACTTGAACTTATGTTGTGATTGCTTGTTGTTTGGAGAGTAGTCGTGTAGATGTTGCTTCTAAATGGTTGGTATTTTGTGACGTGTTGTGCTTAAGGGGAAATAACTTATTATTGTGTAGTTTGTTGTGATTGAGTAATAATAGGATAGTTGTCAATGTACTTTAGTTAATAACGATTCTTTATTCTATGAAGTATAGGTTTATGAAATTACTAAAATAATAACCACTAGACAAACGAAGCTAACGAGTCCTGGCTACAACGGGCTCGTAAGACATCCATTATGTCTTCTCCTCTTTATCTCTCTGGACCAACGTTCTCTCTTGTCTTTATATTATATTGCGAATTCTCACCTATGTCCGGCCTACGTTCTTTTCAATCAATGACTTTACGGAGTATTTTTCTGGCGATCGAGATAAAACAGCTTGTTCCTTATATATAAATCAGTTAACCATCTTTCAAATGTTATAATATTAACTGTTAAATACTTTTCAAACATGTATTTATCTCGTAACGGGAAAATCTTTTAAAATTAATTTTCTACACAAAAAATCACATATATATGTATTCTGCTAGGGTTTTTAATTTATCTATATAGTAAAGAAAAACAAAAAACTTTGACTTGTATTCAAAGAAGCAATAAAACATTATTTTTTTCATCTTTTACACTCAATATAAGAAACAACTCTCATGGGTAATACTACAGAACACATTTATAAATTAATATTATGTATCTGTAAACAGTTGCGTCATTTGAGTAGAACAGGGGGTATTTCAGTTTTTATATAAATTACTATGTAATGTGGCGCTTCCTGCAATAAACAACTCAACACACCACCCAAGTGTGTGATCTAACGAACTTGACTTTGGTATTCCTCCAAGAAATTTGTTATTGTCTACTTATGTAATCTTGGAATGTCAACACTATATGGCTTAACTAAAGAGCGACTTTGCAGAGACGAAACGAGTAAACATTATGCCTCTGTCTGACAAACGATCAATAGCTGGATTGAATGTACCAAGTGACACACATGTACTTTGCAGAGATTTTCCGTTCATATTTTCCCTGGATACAGGTCGCAGGTGACAAACAGTTATAGTGTATAGGATTGCAACACTAAAAAATAGCTGGAAACAGATTCGAAATGACTTAAAGTGACTATTCACAGTGCTGCTGCTGCTAAAAACAAAAAAAAACAAAAAAAACAAAAAAAAACAAAAACAAAAAAAATACAACAACAAAATTCGCCAATACATGTCTTCGTTTCCCTTCCAGAGCTGACCATCAATGTCCATTTCTGATTGGGGATTTTGATAAAGTCGGTTCTGTGTTGTCTAAATAAGAAAAGGTCAAACTTTAAGCCTTTGTCTTTCCTCAAGATTAGATAACAACAATTAAAATACCCTAACAAAGTTTTAAAATGTATAGTTGACTATTTAAACGATCCCAACAGCATCATGGTAAATACAAGTTCACAAACGTCCCCTCAAAACATTAATACTGTCATACTACGTATTGTGCTACAACGATAACTAACATAGCCCCTCAGCAGTGCGTGACATACTCGGATATACTCTCTAACGACCACTTCAACATTCGAATCGCACACTGTGTTCACTTAGAATTGGCCTTACATTATCCGACGATTTACAAATGGGCCTAATAAAACCTCTCACCTAAGATCACCCTCTAGTTCAGTGGTTTTCAACCTTTCTAGTGCCACGACCCTTTAATACAGTTTCTCGTGTCGTGGCGATCCCCAGCCAGACAATTATTTTCGTTGCTACTTCATCGCTGTAAGGATATGTGTTTTCAGATGGTCTTAGGCGACCCCTTGAAAAGGGTCCCGCCACCCCCAAAGGGGTCTCGACCAACAAATTGAGAACCGCTGCTCTAGTTCATTTAAAGCCACGCTCAAGAACCCGTTCATGACTAAAACCAAAATGCTAACCCGGCATAATTTTGTGGTGTTTATTATCAATGTAACAGCATTTAAGTAATCTATTATTATTATAAAACTTCCCGTATTAAATGATAAGAAATAATAATAGAATTTGAGGAAAATTGAGAACAACTAACAACAGAGCATTTAAATTGATTTCATTTTGTGATATTGTGCTGAAAATTTGAGTTAATTTGATTTCTTTCTTCACTCTCGTTAAATTGATGCAAGATTTTGGCTGATTAGATGCACAAAACGTAACAAAGGACTGCCAATAGTGTACAAAGAAAAACGATACCAATGCTAAGCATATGAACAATATTCAAATTAAGTATACATTTAAATTGATATAAACAATACGTAAACAAAGTATAATCCACGAAATATGCACCTATTAATGTACAAATTCACAGAATTAAAGGTGGCTATAAATTGTTAGGGACTTGAATGCATGGTGTGATTGCGTGTTGGTTTGAGATTATGTGTGCAGTTTTATCTGTTATTGTTAGTATCTTGTGACGTATTGTGTGGAAAGTGATATGACGTATTATTATTGTAGAGGGGTGTAGAGTGTTGTTCTTTGAATACAGTAATGGCAGTTTAGGAATTAGTTGATGAATAAAGATATTTTATCTAAGAATTATAGTTGTGAAGTGTATATAATAAACCCCTAGACAACGAAGCCAACGAACCTATTAAATAAGAATAGGTTTGTAACATAAATATATTGTGTAGTGTTACAACACTTTATAAACTGTTTATAATAATTTAGAATGCAAACAACCCTTTAAATTAAAATAAAAAAATTAAATATAGTGGTGGTTGGTCATTAGGTACAGAGCTATACATTTAAACTGCTAAGTCAATAGCAAAACCAAAAAGGGGAAAGGCAAGGGTTTAAAGATAAATTAAGGCAACACACAGGCGATAACAAAGAAATTAAAGATAAATATATGCGCCTTGCGTTGAACTACGCTTAAACGGAATGAGACAGATACTTGGATGATCTGTTCAATATTACGGAGACGTTAACTAAATCTATCAGACAGCCTTCTTCTGGTCTCACCAATAGAACAGCAGTGGCATCTTTTTGAAACATGCACATATAATCCGATTCGATTAATACATGGATCGCTCTCTCATATGGTTAACACATTCTTATGGAAGCAAAAGTGTTCAGGTCATTATATAAGTTCCAGTGATACAACGGCGTCTTGAACATAGTTTAGTTCTAATGTAAGAAAGGTCAGTTCGAGCGCAAATGGGACCCAGAAGGTCCCATAGATCTGTTTCCCTTCTGAAGAAAATACTAGGA